GTGTGTGTGTGTGTGTGTGTGTGTGTGTGTGTGTGTGTGTGTGTGTGCGTGCGTGTGCGCGAACGTGTGCGCGCGCGTGTGCGCGTAGATAAAAGCGTCATCTCCCCAAAGCTTATTATTTATTTGTGTCTCAAGTATGAATGTTCTTTTATTTATTTTTTATTATGTTTGTTTTTTTGTTAGTTTTCTGTTAGTTCTTATATGTATATTAGGTTTTTCTTATTTTTATTTTTCTTTTTTCACTGTGTTGTTTATTTCTTTTGTTTCTTAGGTTTCATTGTTTATTTTTTTCTGTGTGGTGTTATTTGTGGTGTGCAAATAAATGAATTTTCTAACCTAACCTAACGGCAACAGCAGAAATTTGAAGCAAACCAAATTGTGTTGCGAAGCAGCAAGTACCTTATTGAGTGTCAAATGTTTGTTTTTAGGTCATATTACGGTCGATACAATACAATCGACATTATTTGTGCCGTATTGAAAAGGATAAAAAGAAAGGAAACAAAACCATTAAAAACAAGGGCAAGTTAGACTATACTAAAAATACTAAAAATAACAAAGAGGTTAGAACTTTCGATTCTATGAAGATATTGTGATATATCGGAGTCACAGACATCAACGGGGCGTAAAATGTAGTGTTCGGAGTAGAAATTTGCATAGGCAGTATGTTCAGGACTGTCCTGACGACTGTTAAACATTAAATTACCCTTGTGTGCGTATCTGGGACACGATGCTGGGGTCCTATTCTCGAAGCACAAAAATCCGTAGTTACGGCCGTTTTTCCACTATGGATGACCTACGGGACCACAAACCGTCAAAGGAGTTTGTTCGAAACTGTTTAATCGCTATTTCAAAGTGAGAAAACGGCCGTAACTACGGATTTCGTGCTTCGAGATTGGGGCCCCAGAATTAAACGGCTAAATAGTACATCATCGCAGTCGTACGATGTTAGACCAGATGGCTGTAGCGATGGATGTAACGATTTGCGGATTATATTTCAAAAGAATCTTTTGTGATATTATTAGTTGCTTTGATAAGGAAAATAGATCTAAATTTCGCAAATTTTGTGGTACTACGTCATTAAAATAATTCATTTCCTGTTCTTCGTTATCGTCCAGGTATTGATATATATATATATACATCTTAAATAAATCTAAATCATAATGTCGCTGTCACTGATCACAATCTCATTGTGAGCTTCTGACTTCATATGACATGCTCTTGCGCCGCCGGTATTATCAAAACAGGTAGCAGCTGACGGATCGCATGTCAGTCGATTCGCGGCCGCCAAGAGGTGTTGGTCTCTACAATATTTAAATCCTGGGTGGCTATAATGTGCGCCCGAACTTACCCGTCGTAAATTCACAGGTCCGATTGAAGCGGTCGTCGCGACCGTGGTTCCGATTAAACAGTGCATTGTGAATAAATTGAACTGTTCCGATGTACAAATTCTCGCCAGCACTTTTAAAACAGGTAAGTTCTGCTCTTCAGAAATTTGACCCTGTATTTCATACTTCATTATCATAGCATCATATTTTAGATGTAACTGTCACAAGATAAGATCTAGAATCTATTTAAACAAAGGCGTCTCGCCCCTAGTGGACATACATGAGTTCATAGAATATTGTCCATTAGTAAATTACCAATATCTCGTAAATTATTTATACTGTATGTGGGATGACATGAAATCTGCATAGTGCCTTTAGGTAATAACTTAAACTGAAATAATATATTCTTGCTTCATTACCACCATGTAAATTTATCACTATTCTGACGACCACCGTGATCGAGTGGCTTGCACGCCGGTCATGGTGTCGTCAGCTCTGAGGTCCCGGGTCCGATCCCCGGCCAAAACTTTTGTATATTGTCTCGGATCTGGATGTCTGTGGTACGGTCGTCGTTGTTTTGCGATTTCCATAATACACGTGACACAACTGCTTGGGATCGCAGCAACGTGTGTGATGGCGTCTAACATTTATAATATTTTTTTTATTATCGCGTTTATTTTTAAAACCTTGTCGAATTAATAATGTATTTAAACATTTCAAAAACATGCTAATAAGTTTCAGCACATTTTATTGTAAATTATCTTTAATTAATTGTTGTTAATTTTTATAATTATTATTGTTATTTTTAGTTATAATATTATGTTATGTGATTGATTACGTTATTGAACGTTACATTATTGTATTGGGATGGTCCTGTAAAAAAAGCTGTATGTATGAAATAAATATTTAACTAATAATTTAACTGCCTCCGTGGTCGAACGGTTACCATGCCGGACTGCCACGCAGAGGTCCCAGGTTCAATTCCCGGGCCGAGAGAAATAGTTGTATGGCCTACAATTATTTCTCTCGTGAGTTTGGGTGTAATTTGTGGTTGTCTATGTGTGTGTCCATGGCACCCGCGACACAGGGTTTCCCTAGTGCGGGGCTATGTTGAGTGTGTGCGTTATTTTATTTATTTATTTATTTAAATAAATAAACTTTTATTTATTGATTAAAATTAAAATAGCAGAACTTTAAGTTATCAGTGTTACTGTCCAAAACTTTTCGTGTATGATCTTTGAAACCAGTTGGTTGCTTACAAAATTAGCATACTGGACATTCTACTTTCTGTTATTATTTGTTAGTAAAAACAGAAATCGTCAAATAGAAAACAGTTTGTTTACAGGTTTCGTACTACTTACTTATTTCCAATATTACTTTTAAGTACGTTCATTTATTTCTAGTAATTGAATTGCATGTGCGGAAATGTCTACAACTGTGTAATCTAAATTGTTATTAATTATGCGTTTTGTAATAATAATTTTGTCCACCAGACAAGTTCGAAAGTAAACGGGCAGGCATTCGCAGCTATTACCGGCCATTCTCACAATTCGATGTTCACAGCCTAATTACCGTAGCCATTTTTTTCTCGCTTATTATACTCAATAACATTAAAATATGATCAACTTTAAGCTAAACTATTAAAATGTCTATATTAATATGTCTACATTAATATTAGTGCATTAGAATAGGTCATATTTTGGAGGAGGTAGATACAATCCGCAACTTGGGTGTAGCCCTGGATAAAAAACTACTATTCCATAAACATATAGACAGAGTTGTCACGAAAGGATTTCAGATGCTAGGATTTGTATTGAGAAATGCAAGAGATTTTAAGAATACCTCAACCAAGATGTTGTTATTTTCGTCTTTGGTTTTTTTTATTGGTGCGCCCCGGTCTGGAATATTGTAGTCTGGTATGGTCGCAACAATATGATGTTCACATAAAACGTATTGAGCGGATTCAGAGGAGATTCATGTGGCATCTTTCCTATCTGACTCACAAAGCTAAAGAGCTGCCCTCATATGAGGAACGCTTTTCTTATTTTAATTTAATGAGTTTACGGAGTAGAAGATTGCTACTAGACCACATGTTGTTACCCAAGATTGTGAATGGAAAAATCTCATAAAATGCATTTTGAATGGCCCTTCTAACGGCAGAAACCAAATGTAGCATAATATTTTCTTCTTCTTCTCAGCATATTATTGATTCGACTGTTGGATATATGCCTCTTGCTATGAATCACCACAGTCCTCGGTTTGCGGCGATTCTGCTCCAGGTCGGCCATGCCGCGTTTTTAATTCCGTTCGACCACCTCGCTGGTGGTCCGCTCACATTTCACCTTCCTAAATGAGGTCTCTAGAACAAAATTGTCTACGACATACGTGACCAGCCCGTTGTCATTTCTGTTTGGTAGTCCATACGTCCAAGTCGACGATTTTGGTATGTAAACGAATTGCGTCCTCTGATTCCCCGCCGCGTTTGATTTTATGACCTCGGTAGACGTAAACATTTACTTTCTCAATCAGCCTGTTTCCCACGAATACCTATGTCCTCTGAAGCACTGACATGGATGGGTCCATTTCGTTCTAACTGCGTTCAGCTTAAGGCCAATATCTGAAAGTGCTAAACCGAGGTAATTCATTGAGCATTCTCTCGAGGTTCCCTGATGATTCCGCGAGCAGTACGACGTCATCCGCAAATCTTAGGTGATGTAGATATTATCCGTTCACGTTTATGCATTCCAATATAGTGTTTTGAAGACATCTTTTTTTAGTGAATAGCTTAGGAGATATAACGTCACCCTGAAGTACGCCTCTTGGTATTGCAATAATCGTGGAACAATGCTGGTGTAGGTACTTTATCGTGGCTGTTTTATATAGGCTTTTTAGCAGGGTAATATACCTATAGTATATTCTGCATCGCTGAAGCGTAATATAAAACATAATAGTTCAGTTGTATAAAAAAAATCCATTAAGCTCTAAACAAACGTGGACCGTGGTCTCAACAAAATCAGGCACGCAAAGGTTTCAAATCTTTGTCTAAGGGATTCGTATGTGTGGGGTTCCTGGAAGAAGTAGACGGCTGATAAAGTTCGTCCCTAACAATATTTTTGTGGTTTTTTTACAGCGAAAGAATTTACTAAATATATGTCGAAAATCGCGAATTTATTGGCGATGGAGATTTCAAGGAATCTCTTATATTATGCCATTCAATTATTCATTCAATTCACTTGTCGACATTTTTTCTTGCTTGTGTATCAAGCTATGAAATTGATGCTTGATGATTTTGTTCAGTCATTTCCTAAACTGGTAACAACTACCTTTCTTTACCCATATCTCTCTTTTCCCTTATCTTTCGATTTCTGATATAAAATCGGAATATTTTTTAAACGTTATCACTGCTAATGTGCTACAAGTCTCTTATTTTCTCAAGTTTCCTCCTTAATTTTTTTTTGTTTTCCCACTGTGTGAAAAAATATTGTTAATTGGTTTGATTACAAGATTTAATTACCTAGAAGTCTGGTATGTATCACAATATGTTGGGATATATATTTTAAATACACGGGAAATGTTATGTAATATTTAAAACTCTTCAATATTTTCATACCACGGTAATTCATATTACGGTACTTAGAATACGGACCATTTTCACCAAAGCCCTCTTAGCTGTTTTATTTCAATAAGTGACAACACATTTTGTTGAAAATGTAATTCACAAATAGGGAACGGGAATTAGAAAATTTTAAAATGAAAGTTATGGTAATTAGAAACTTATGTAAATTGCAAGCGAATACGTCAACAATGGTACATTCACGCTATTTGAGTCCCGAGTCACGGCCAGTAGCTCGCGATTCAAGCAATAGTGACTTTCAAATATTTCGTGGTTTAGGGATGCGCACTTTGAAAAGGAATGGAGATGGTAATTATACCTTCGGGTCGGAGACTCGGATATTTGATGGTAGATTTTAAAAGAATGGTCGTTTACAAGTTTTACTTTAGCCATTTCTTTACAATATGAATCTTAAAAACTTACTAAGTTAGTTGTTTGATACGGTAACCTATCACAAACTCGAATTATTTTTTTCCGAAATAACGTTTGTTCGTATTTTCATTACCCCGAAATCCGAATTATAACGAAATCGTTGTTTTTTCAGGATATGTTGGATGTTTATCGCAAAGACACGATTAGGTTCGGTTAGGTTAGGTTAAGTTAGTCCCCCGGATTAACAAAAAAGATTTAAAAGAAAAAACATTTTCCTCTCAACATTACTTTCGAGGTTATGAAAATTCGAGCAAACGTTATTTCTGGAAAATGTCATTTCGGACTTTTGTTAGGTAACCGTTTGATACATACATATATATGTAGATAGCTATTACATAATATTTATATTTTTTAATGGTTCGTATTCTTTTTCTTATCGTATCGACGGCATACACTATAATAATTATTCTCGCCGATTGTTACGGGTAAGGATATATCGTCGTGCCCCGCATGACGACATATCGTTTCCCTTCCGTGGAACCCGTGATTCGTATTTATCTTAATTAAGCAAATTTTTATTTTGCCATGTAATTAAATTTAATTTTACATTGATTTGATTTTTATGAAGCTATAATACCTGTTTAAACAATTAAATTTTTTGGCCAAGTTTACGAAATTGCGAAACGTCTCAGGTATGTCACCAAGAACCTCAGGTTACAGTTCATTTTTCAGTTTATTTTTATAAAGGAAATATATGTGTTCGACACAATTAGGAGGTTTCCTACTTCAGAAATGAAACTATTTTTTCGGATCTAAGGCGTATATTTGTTTCTCCGAATAATTCAACGTTTCAGGAGTAAGTCGTGACCACGTGATCAGGGGGGTGATTAAAACACCCGAAACGTCTGTTCGTTCTGAAAAAAAAATATGGGTGTAACAATTGCGAAAAGCTTAGAATCTAAATTTTACCAATCGTATGACAGAGTACTAAAAAAATCGACCTCAAAAGTCATTCATCACACAGTTTGCCCCCATAAAGGTGGTATATTCTCTTCAAATTTAAATGGGACCACATATGAGGTACCTTCTTTCCAACAAAAAAGAATCATCAAAATCGGTTCACAAATGTTATCCAGAGTTATCGCGTAACATATAAATAA